TGTGGTTCCAAACTCCAAAGTCACAAGTCCAACCTAAAAAAGACTAAACCAGCTAGAGCCTAGAGATACCTTACCAATATCATTCAACAGAGAGCACTTTTAATAAGCTTGGAGACTCGGAAGCGCTTCACTGAGAGCCCTTGGATGCCTTGGGGGTCCTCTCATATATACCACAAGGGACAGTGTCTTCCATCACCTTTGGGACTGTGAAACTGAAATCTCCCAGCGGTGCGCTCTTGTAATCTTGATTGGCATCGATGAAGGCTGCAATTTCATTGCGACTCTTCAGCTTCTTCCCAGTAGGAGTTATGTAGTACGCATCCATTTTCGAGTAGTCCTTTCTCAGCACTAAGCTCCTCTTGAACCCTCTCGGTGTCTTCGGCAAGCCAGGCTTATCGATGACCCATGTTCTGCTTGAATCATAGTCCAGGTCTCCAGCATCTCCACAGGACATACCTTCTCTCTTCTCGCACACAAACGGGTCCTCTTGTATTTTACTTCTGATCTCCTCATACACTTCTTGGGAATTAATCTTCCTCCACTTCAGGCACTTTTCACACTGTGCAGCATAGATATCGATCAACCTACCTGGAGTACCCGCGGCATTTTTCTGCACAATGCAAATGTACAATCTCAGTGAAAAGGAGAATCGTCATTCACATACACAAGCTACTTGGATAAATAGAATCAGACAAGAACCATACTACAACAGATCCAATTCCACAAAAGTTTGATCACACAGCTCCATTTAATCTTTAGCAAGAGGAGAAAACATGCCTATGAACACAGATTCTAACAACACCTTCAAGACAAGCTTAAATATATTCAATGCTTCAGGAATTTTAAGAGGAAAGGCTTTTGCTTCTAAAATACGGATGGAACCACCACCAGAGACAGCAATATAACAGGATCAAAGTGTTGACGAGCATCTTCGAAAACAAGAATCAACCAAAAAGATAACGAAGTTGCAAAACAAAACTGATTAGCCACGGGGGGAGGTCGTTGTCTACAGGAAAAGAAGATAATCGTTCCACAACAATGCATCACATTAATTAGATAAAGAGGGTTAGAAGTATAAATTCCCACAACAAATAATTTATATGTTATCCACTGGATTTAGCAAAAATTCAGTTCATTAGAAGAACAAAGAGATTAAATAGAGAAACCCCCTGATAACACCTTATATAGCACAGATATCACTCGATAGAAATCAAAAGACGTCTATAATAATTGGTCAAATAAGTAATAATAAAGCTTCTATATT